AAAAATTAAAAAAATAAAAACCAACCCAAATTTCACTGGCCTTGGGGAGGGGAGACTGGATCTTCCCTTTGGAGTCATCCACTTATTAGTTTGGGACACCCTGTGGGGGGCCCTTAAACGTTTGTCACCTTCCTAGGGGGTGAGCACCCTGAGGTGAGGGGCTCATCTCGTTGCCTATCTCCCAGCACCTGCCCTCTGAGGAGTGAAGATGAATCGGTGAAAAGAGCCTGGAAGGGCATTCCCCAGGCAGAGGTCCACTCAGGAAGCAGGGTGACTCTGGGGAGAGGCTCTGAGCTGCTGGTGGGACTGCAGGAGCTGGAGAGGGTGTGTGAGAGGGAGTCTGGAGGCAGAAGAAGGTGCTGGAGTGTAGCGGGGCCTCAGCTTGTCCAGCAGCAACGTGGGGCCACTCAGGAAGCAGGGTGACTCCAGGGAGAGGCTCTGAGCTGCTGACAGGGCTGAAGGGGCTGAAGGGGATGTCCTGGTGGGGGAGGCTTGGAGGCACAGGAAGGTGCTGGGAATGTGGTGGGTCCTCAGCATGCCCAGCAGCAATGTGGACGGCACATGAGCCCTGAGGCTGAAAGCAGGCCTCGGCCTCCCGAGGGAAGCTGCTGCAGCAGCCCAGATAGAAAGTACCAGGGCTGACCCTGGCAGTGGTGGGCTGGGGACAAGTGGTCATTTCCAGAGATGACAGCAAAGGCAGCACTGGGACCAGCTGGAGATGGGGTGAGGGGCCTCCCTGAGTCCCCAGTTCCAGGCTAGGGTGGCTTGGGAGCTGCAGAGCTGAGGTGCTGTGAACTGGAGGGCTTGATGTTGCCGGGCTGCTGGTGTTGAGTGGAGCCAGAAGGTGGGTAGGTGGCCCCAAAGCCCACCAGAGTCAGAGACGGAGAGGTCATCAGGGGGAGTGCAGCCTTCCCAGAGGTGGCTGTGCACACTCAAGCCGAGTGGCTGCAGCTAGGCCTTGGTGACAAGGTTGGTGCCCAGGATGGAGACAGGGTGCCTGAGAGTCTGGGGTTGAGGAAGGAGGATTCTAGGAGGGTCCAGTCCACAGTGCCTAGGAAAGAGCCCCTGTGCTGCAGCAGGGCCATCCAGGGAGCGAGGTCACAACCCCCCAGGGAGGGCTGTCCTAGATGAGCTCGGCTGTGAGGGAAGCAGGGGACATAGTCCTCCTTGGAAAGGATGTAGATGGGGAGAGTGCTTTAAGAATCATGTTTATTAGGAGTTATTTTCTCATGCTGAAAGAAATACATACTATCCACCACAGAAACTTGGCCAACACATATAAACACAACAAATAAAATACAATTACAAATAACAGCCTAATGATAACTGCCATAAGGGTTTGATATATATCCTTACCATCTTTTTTTTTTTTTTTTTGAGACAAGAGTCTTACCGTGTCTCGGCTCACTGCAACCTCTACCTCCTGGGTTCAAGTGATTCTCCCACCTCAACCTCCTGAGTATCTGGGATTACAGGTGCCTGCCACCATGCCTGGCTACTTTTTGTAGTTTTAGTAGAGATGGCGTTTCACCCAGGCTGGTCTTGAACTCCTAACTTCAAGTGATCTGCCCGCCTCAGCCCCCCAAAGTGCTGGGATTATAGGTGTGAGGCACCGCCCAGGCCTCTCAGTCTTTTTATATAGACACACAGATACATATATACGCCCACACACTTTTTTTTTTTTTTTTTTTTTTTAAACAAAATCGGCCTCATACTCTGCACTAAGTTTTGCTGTTTGCTAAATGAAGAATCTTGGTCCGGGCATGGCAGCTCATACCTGTAATCCCAGCACATTGGGAGGCCAAGGCAGGAGGATCACTTGAGCCCAGGAATTGGAGACCAGCATGGGAAACATGACAAGACCCTGTCTCTACAAAAAAACCTAGCTGGGTGTGGTAGTGCACGCCTGTGGTTCCAGCTATTTGGGAGACTGAGGTGGGAAGATTGCTTGACCTCAGGAAGTTGAGGCTGCAGTGAGCTATGACTGCACCACTATACCCTAGCCTGGATGACAGAGTGAGGCCCTCGCAAAACAAAACAAAACAAAAAAGAATGTTGCTCCCTGACACGTAATATACTACACACTGGTTATTCCTGAGGGTGGATTCCAAAGCACACACGTGCCACAGATTAAAGGGAAGGCTTTGTGTGATAAGAACAAATAAGAATGCATTCACAGGGTGACAAGAAACCCCAGAGGTGGTTCAGGAAGGGAGAGACCTAAGCAAAGGGTGCCTCCTGGAGGGGCAGAGAGGGCACGGCTGGGTGGCATCTGAGGCACAGGTGCGGAGGGAGGTCTTGGCCACTTCTAAAAGAGTATTACACTTCCTGATTTCCTGATCTTGGTACACACTTAGAAAAAAATTATAAAACAAATGCTCACTTTAAGAAGGCAGGGGGGCCAGGCATGGTGGCTCCTGCTTATAATCCCAGCACTTGGGGAGGCTAAGACAGGAAGACTGCTTAAGTTGATGAGTTCAAGACCAGCATGGGTAATATAGCAAGACTCTTTTCTACTAAAAACAATTTTAGTAATTAAAAAAAATGATTAATTTTTTTTTTTTTTTTTTTTTTTTTAGAGTCTCACTCTCTTGCCTAGGCTGGAGTGCAGTGGCACAATCTTGGCTCACTGAAACTGCAGCTTCCTCAGTTTAAGAGATTCTCCTGCCTCAGCCTCCCAAGTATCTGGGATTACAGGCACCCACCACCGCACCTGGCTAATTTTTGTGTTTTTGGTAAGGATGGGGTTTCACCACGTTGACCAGGCTGGTCTCAAACTCGTGACCTCAGATGATCCACCCACCTCGGCCCCTCAAAGTGCTGAGATTACAGGCATGAGCCACCGCACCTGACCTAAATAATTGTTAAAACTAGAGAGAAAATAAGTCCCCTGGTATCCTATCAGCCATTTAACATATGTTTTTCCTGATAGCAGTCACAATCCATGCATACATCTGTCTAAATGGGAATATATTGGTTATTAGAAAATATTCTTAAAGTTTAGTTTTATCTGCTAACGACTGAAGATGTGGTGGGAAACTTGGGAAAAGAAACTTGTAACTTTCTTTTCCAACATTACAAGGGTAGGTCTATTACAAGGAGGCCACGTGGGTGTAAGGCGTGGCCTACCCCACCCCATTCCAGCTCCACAGGGGACAGTGTCTTGCTGTGACATCCGGTGGGGTCAAGAGTGGAAGACCCCACCACTCACCAGCCTTGAGCTCACTTACAGAGCAAACACTGAACAGAGAACAGAGGCCTTGGAAACTCACTCAGCCCTCAAGCTGTAAGGAGGCAGGTTCAAACCCTGGAACTCCTGCCCCGAAGGGGGCCTCTATGCACTAAGCAACCCTGACATTATTTTCACAAGTAACCTCTTTTCTAGAGTTCCCGATCTCATCAAGAGAACAGGCTCACATAGTTTGTTCCTAGAACCAGTTTCCTTTAAAGGGTCTGTCTCCTCAGTCAAGTGCTTTGTTCAACTTGCTGGTTCTTCCACTCCAGGGCACTTACACAAAGCGAGTGAGGGTTGTTACTTTCTTTTCCAACATTTAACAGTTGGAGCATGCCATTACTTTTCTTGTATGTACTGTACTCAGATGCATAAATAGAAAAAAAAACCACACAGGTTTCACCTTCAGTCATATTATACTGGGCTTGCTAATAAATTATCACACCTGGGGGAAAGTGAGTTCTGGTCTCAAGGGGTTGTCTCCATCAAGGATGACAGAGTAGGGAGGACAGAGAGGTGTCAGGGTCATGAGAGAATGGGAAGAATCAAAGAGGAAAAAAAATAACACAGACCAGAAGCGCATGGTGAGTAAGTCAAGTTCAAGTTGTGGGCCCCAGTGGAGAGAAGGCAGAAGCTCCTGCTGTGTTTGGCTCCTGCCTGGGGGGCTGAGGTGACTGCCCTGCGCACTAGATTTTTTGGGTTTTTTAATTTTTTTTTATTTTTTGAGTCAGAGTTTCAGTCTTGCTGACCAGGCTGGACTGCAATGGCACAATCTCAACTCACTGCAACCTCTGCCTCCCAGATTCAAGCAATTCTCCTGCCTCAGCCTCACAAATAGCTACGATTACAGGCATGCACCACCACACCCAGCTAATTTTTGTATTTTTAGTAGAGAAGGGGTTTCACCATGTTGGCCAGGCTGGTCTCAAACTCCTGACCTCAGGTGATCTGTCCACCTCAGCCTCCCAAAGTGCTGGGATTACAGGCGTGAGCCACCGAGCCTGGCCTTTTTTTTTTTTTTTTTTTTTTTTTGAAGGCTTTTTCTATTTAACATCTCATCTATTCACATAATACAAAATTCGACAGATAA